ATCACTGTTGGTAATCCAAAGTGCTTTCTTTCCATAGTACAGCCCTGCTCTTCTCCCTTTACTATTTAATCAGGATGCAATTGCATTTGTCTAACTTTAAACAGACCTTATTAGAAGTGGAAATAGCAGTTTTACATCTGAGTGGGGCACAAGTACACTGCTTTGAGAAATAGGAATGTATTTGAAAATATTAAAATAGAATCTACCTGAGGGTGTAGAGCTTTCAAGCATACACAAGGCCCTACTTTTAATCCCCAGCACCACCACAAAAAACACTGTCTGACATGGTGGCCTGTAATTTCAGCGCTTCAGAGGGAAAGAGTAAGATCAAGAATCCAAGGACATCCTAAGCAACATTAGTGAGTTTGAGACTCACCTGGTACACCTGAGACCCTGCCTCTAAGAAAAAAGTGGCCGGGCAGTAGTGGCACACGCCTTTAATCCCAGTACTCAGGAGACAGAGCCAGGAGGATCTCTGTGAGTTCGAGGCCAGCCTGGGCTACCAAGTGAGTTCCAGGAAAGGCGCAAAGCTACACAGAGAAACTCTGTCTCGAAAAACAAAAAACAAAAAAAAAAGTGGAGGGGACTGAAGAGCTAAGTTAAGAGCACTTGCTGCTCTTTCAGAGGACCCACATTCAGTTCCCAGAACCCACATGGGCAGCTCACAACTGCCTATAACTCCAGTTCCAGGCAATCCAACATCCTCTTTCACTTGCTTCCAATACCTGCTCACATGTGGTGCGCATACATATACTCAGCTCAGGCACATATACATAAAACAAAATAAATGCATAAATATTTTGTTAAGTGGAATCTACCCCTATAGTTATACATAGATGTTTTAACAGAAACAAATACTCAATACACTTTACTAGACATAAGCTAAAGGTTTCAGAAAATACCCAAATTGTCAGTAGACAGCAATTAACTAACTTGAAGAAAAACTGGTAAACTAGCATCTGTAGTTAAATGGCTTTACTGCAATTAGCAGAGATACAACTGTATAATTAGTAATATTTGGCTTGAGTTCTGGCCTCCAGCACCAGCCCTACCTTAACTCAAGTGGAGGTTTAATTGGATTCATTTATGACTAAACCAAGTAGAGGTGTCATACATATTACTTATTGAAATAAACTCATTTTAAAACTTTAAGCCTGAAGGATGTGGAGCTTCCTTGTCAATCATCTTCCCAAATTGACAAACTACAAAATATTCATCAAATTTTATAAAGCTATGATTCATAAATATCATGTAAATATTTTCTACAAATTTGGCTATTTGGGGAGATATATATTTATTTAGGAAACTTTGTAGCATAGTGATAAATAAGATAATTACCCATCACTTCTCAGCTTTTCCAACCTGACTCTCTTGCCAAAGAACATTAAAGCCAGCCATACAAATCCTTATTGGTTTGTTGGTAAGAAGTAAAGGAATCAGGCCAAGGTAGAAGATGAAATCTATTTTTGAAACATGTGAAGATGGAAAAATGTAGGCCTAGGTGTTCACATGGATGCCTCTGAGACACAAAACTTCAGGTAACACAAATCACATGACAGAAATTAAGCTTCACTACAGCTGTCTACTTACCTTGGCTGAACAGAGTCAGCAAATACTGAACTGTACCCACCGTTTACTCCATCCTTTATAAGCAAGAGGAGTAGGAAAGAAATGGAGAAAAGTACCTACAGATTCATATTTGGAAAAGTGGAACCACATGCATATGAACACTCTCACATGACTCTTGAATTAAGGAAATTCAAAAGGAATCATGCCGTGGCACTTAGTAAATGTTTTGTAATAAAAGCAAAGTAAATATATATGTTCAAGACTCTGAGAAGAATCATGGACAAGAACATTATATAACCAATAAAGTATAAATCCTGTATTTCTCTGAAAATCCAAAACCATTAGAAATCTCTGGTGACTAAGTAGTTAAAAATTAACATTTAGATAAAGTAGAGTTAGGTGAGTGTCTTATCTAGAGATACATAAAACTTCTAGTTCCAATGTAATATAGAAATACTTAAAATATAATGAGCTTCTCATAAAAGGAATCTGGTGAATCCTCAATTTTAAATTAGTTGCTAAATCTGGTGTATATTTGGACAAAACTCCCTTTAAAATGTTAACATCGGGAAGCTTACTCCTGTGATACTAGCACTCAGGAGGGTGAAGAAAGAGGATTGGCACAAGTTTGAGGCCAGCCTCAGCTACCCAGTAGATTCTAAGACACCCTGGGCCACAGTGAGACCCCTTTTCTCAAAAACATCTGCTCTTAGCAGTATGTCTAGGAATGCAATGTTTGCATGTGGATCAACTGCTCACAGAGAAAGCATTCCAGGATTGAAGCAAGCTGATCAAATTCCAAAGTGGCATTTACTTTCCACCAGCATCGTAATGAGCATTGTGTAAAAGCAAAATTAAAGAAAATACAACTACCATCAATATATGGTGATTTTAAAGATGGTGAAAACAAATATTAAGACACTAAGCACACTGTACAAATTAGAACAAAATTCAGAAAGACTACTACATGTTGGAATTAACTCATTAAGCTCCAGCAGTGAAAATAAACATGTTCAAGTTTAAACAATTTGTAGCATAATATTTAAGAAAATGCTTCCACATATTATTGTTATTATAATAGGAATCTCCAAACAAATTCTCTTTGAGCCAGAGTCTTGCTATTAGCCCAGTCTGGACTGGAACTTGCTATACAACCCAACCAGCCTCATACTAACAATTGGTCTGCTTCCTTCCAAGCTACCATACCTAGGAATCGTCAACACTTTGATAAGAAAGGGGTTCGTTTCCTTGACCTCTATATATAAGCTGCAGAGAAATGGGAGAATGGGTGCATGGGAAACTGGTGAAATGAGATGAATTAATATCAGTGCTGAGACTCTTAAAGAGCTACAAGAGACAGGGGTAAGTAAGGGTCCAAATTAAGGGAGCAATTGAACCATCTACACAGCTCCCTTAGTTTGGACACTGACTCCTATCAAACTCAGTTTGATTCCCAGCTCCCGTATAAATATTCAGGTGTGGTACTATACAGCAGTAATCCTAGTGCTGGGGAGGCAGACACAAGAGGATTTCTGAGGCTGACTAGCTAGCAAATGTAGCCAACTGGTAAACTACAGGCCAGTAAGAGAACCTGTCTAAAAAATTAAGGTGGAGAGAAATTTAGGAAGACACTGGCATGGACCTCTAGCCTCCATATGCATACAGAGACAAACACATTCATATATCACACACATAAATGTGTGTGTTTAATTTAAAAAGTATGCTTGAAGCCAGGTGGCACACACCTCTAATCCCAGCATTTGGGAAACCAAGGCAGGAGAATTACTACAAATTGTAGGTCAGCCTAGGCTACAGAGACCCTGTCTCAAAATACAGAGGCTGGAGGGATGGCTCAGTGGTTAAGAGCACTGGCTGGTCTTCCAGAAGATGCCAGTTCAATTCCCAGTAGTCACATAGCAACTAACAACCATCTGTAACTGCAGTCCCAGAGGATCAGATGCCCTATTCTTGTCTGAAAGGCACTGTATACATATGGTACACATACATGACAACAGAACACCCATACACAAAACATAATAAAATAAGAAAAATTAAATAAAAGAACAAACAAAAGGCTTAGAAATGGCCATTGGTGTGGAAACACACTAGTAATTATAGTAATTACAATGCACTGCTCAGGGATCTCTGCCTTACCACATATAATAGGGAGGAAGGCGGAGGATCAGGAGTTCAAGGAGAACCATGCCTACATATCAAATTCATGGTCAGCCTGAGCTACATATCATGTTTCAAACAAACAAACAAACAAACAAAAGATTCTTAAGAAAATCCCAAGAAACTGGCAGGCAGGGTGGCTGCCATCTATATTCCTAGCACTCAGGAGGCTGAGACAGATGAATCATAAATTTGAGGCTAGCTCGAACTATATGGTGAGTCCACGGCAAGCCTGGGTACACAAATAGATCCTGCCCCCCCAACTACCCCCAAAAGAAACACCAAAAAGACAGCCACAGGTGCCCCCCATAGTGTTGCGGGGGGCTTTCTAACAGCCTGAGCTTCAGCAGACACAGAGCCCATGCCTATAATCCCAGCGTTCTAGAGACTGAGGAAAGAAGACTGATAGTTTGGGACAGGACTAGGCCACACAGTGCCAGGCCAGCCTAGCACAATTTTGTTTCAAAACCTCCAAAATAAATAAAATAACTTGCTAGGGATACAGCTTAGTGCTAGGTCTCTTGCCTAACATGTGCAAAGCCCTAAGTTCAAACTGCAGTACTGTCCCCCAAAAAGGTAAGTAACCTGAATTTCAGTCGCAACCACAGAACACTGAGAATTCTGCTGAGGCGTAAAGAATGTTAAATAACAATAAGGTATAATGCTTTAGATATTTCATATCAACTTGTAATTACAAAATAACCACCATGCTATAAAAGATAAACTCCTAGCTCATTCTCTGAGATCATATATTTTCTTCCAGCATGAAGTTAAAAGCAAATCTGGTCATGATCCTATATACCTATAATTCTAGCACTTGGGAGCTTGAAGCAGGAGAATCCTGACTTCAAGATCATTTTGGGTTACATGGCAAGACCCTATTCAAATAAAAAGATAGAAATTAGGAGTAATAAAAAGCACACATATACAACCACAATAGAGTCCATATTTGAAAACTGTTCTTTTTCTTCACTGGGGGATTTTTTTTTTTGAGACTAGGATTGATTGTGTTACTCAGACTGGTCTTTGACTCCTGAACTCAAGCGAACCTCCTACCTCAATTATATCTTTAAAAGAGAAGTAAGTAGATAAATTATTGTTATTATATAGATTATTTAGTATCAGCTTAGCAGTGCAGTGTGATAGTCTTTCTTTGTCAAATGTGTCAGTGTGATGGCTTCAATCCCAGTGATAGAAGTAATGCTTAACAGAATTACTGTTGATGACGTCTTACTAATTTACGAAGAGTAACTTACTTTAATGTGATGGACACCGTTTGCTTTCCCAATCTTCTGTTCAATGGTCCGGACACAGGAAATACATGTCATTCCCTCAACAGAGATAGTGACTGAATTCACATCCATACTTGGCTCCATTTTGATGTCTTTACATTCCTGTTAGAGAAAATAAAAGCATTAATTTAGCTTTTTCTACACGGCTCCAGTTGAAAATGTGCTAATAAGGACAGGCGCAAAGCTACACAGAGAAACCCTGTCTCGAAAAACCAAAAAAAAAAAAAGAAAAAAAAAAGAAAATGTGCTAATAATAAAATATGATCAGCATTCTTTTATACTTGCTGAGGAGAAAGGTTTTTTTTTCTTTTGGTTTTTTCGAGACAGGGTTTCTCTGTGTAGTTTTGGTGTCTGTCCTGGGTCTTCCTCTGTAGACCAGGCTGGCCTCGAACTCAGAGATCCGCCTGGCTCTGCTTCCCAAGTGCTGGGGTTATAGGCGTGTGCCACCACCACCCAGTGAGGAGAAAGTTTTAACCAACCCTATGATGAAGTAAAGGAAAGTAGATTCCACAGCTAAGCTAATTAAAAAAAAAAACACACAACACTCTAAGTAATAAATTTTGGGGACCAACAAGATGGCTTAGTCAATGACCTGAGTTCAAGCCCCCAGACCTGCATGGTAGAAGAAGAAAAACAACTCCCTAAAGTTGTTCTCTGACATCCACATAGGCACACACATATAAATAAGCAAAATACAGGAAATTTAAAAAACGTAACTTGCCTTTATAAACTGCTTTCCTGATTATGAAACATATTTAACATATAATCTCATGTAATACTGGATACAGACAAAAGAAGCAAAATTGCCCAAAGTCCTTAAGCTATTCATACATTTCTGCATGATTTTCCCTGCCTGCCCATCTCAAACTGACCTCTCTGGTCTCCAACCACTCAGGACACCTGACTCTGTGCCTGTCACACTGCCTACTAAGTGACTGCCACTCATGGCCTTTGGTTTAGCTATTCTCTTGGTTTGGGACTCCTCACTTTCAGAAATCTGCTTAGCTAATTCTCTGATCCCTTTAGAGTCTTTAACCTTTGTCATGGGGCCCACACTGATAGCACGTTTAAAACAGCAACCTATAGCCCTTCAACACAAACATATCTATATCTTGATTCCCCTTACATCCATTTTTTTCTATAGAATGCCCCATTTTCTAATATGCAACTCCATGATTTGCTTATTTATTCTGTTCATTGCTTACTAAAGTTTTGTCTTCCTATAGTGCAGCAGTTCACAACCTGAGTCACAACCCTTTTGGGGGTCGAACGATCCTTGCACAGGGGTCACCTAAGACCATGGGAAAACACAGATATTTACATTAGGATTCATAACATTAGCAAAATTACAGTTATCAAGTAGCATCGAAAATAATGTTATGGTTGGTGGTCACCACAACATGAGGAAATATATTAAAGGGTCATTAGGAAGGTTGAGAACTATTGCTATAGTGGGTTTACAAACACACTCACAGAATCTTTCTAACTCCTTTCAGGAAATGGAATTTAATTCTTTTTACCCTGAGTATGCCCTAGACTTGGTAATGCTTCCAATGAATAGATTATGATGGATATGACAACAGGTTAATTTCCAAGACTAGCTCATAAAGGTCATTGTGGACTATGGGTGTGTAGCTAGAGCTTTCCTGCCTGGCCCACAGTCAGGACAAATCTCTCTCACCTGCCAGTCCCACAGCCACTCAGACCGGATCAAGTAAACACAGAGACTTATATTTGTTACAAACTGTATGGCCATGGCAGGCTTCTTGCTAACTAGTGCTGTGGGATGTTCTGTATGGCAAATGTGTTGCTAATTAGTCAATAAATAAAACACTGATTGGCCATTGGCTAGGCAGGAAGAGTAGGCGGGACAAGGAGGAGAATAAAGCTGGGAAGTGGAAGGCTGAGTCAGAGAGACACTGCCAGCCGCCACGATGAGAAACAGCATGTGAAGATGCCGGTAAGCCACGAGCCACGTGGCAAGGTATAGATTTATAGAAATGGATTAATTTAAGCTGTAAGAACAGTTAGGAAGAAGCCTGCCACAGCCATACAGTTTGTAACCAATATAAGTCTCTGTGTTTACTTGGTCGGGTCTGAGTGGCTGTGGGACTGGCGGGTGATAGAGATTTGTTCTGACTGTGGGCCAGGCAGGAAAACTTCAGCTACAAACTGTTCTTACAGCTTAAATTAATCCATTTCCATTAATCTATACCTTGCCACATGGCTCGTGGCTTATCGGCATCTTCACATGCTGTTTCTCATCATGGCGGCTGGCAGTGTCTCTCACTCAGCCTTCCCCTTCCCAGCTTTATTCTCCTCTTTGTCCTGCCTATACTTCCTGCCTGGCCACTGGCCAATTTATTGACCAATCAGCAACACACTTGACATACAGACCATCCCACAACACTTCCCCTTTTCTTTTTTTCTTTTTTTTTTTCCCCAAAAAGGAAGGTTTTAACCTTAACAAAGTAAAATTACATATAATTTGGGAATTTGGGCGTAGCTTCTCTTACTACTTCCTGCTGGAGGGGGGCGCTGTATCTTATGGGGATACAAAGAAAATTTTAGGATTATGGAATAGTCCATTAGGGTGTATCGTCTGAGCCAGTTGCCTTCAAACCATTCTGGATGTTGGATCATCTGGGCCATGGTGTCATCAGAGACCTTTCATGGAGTTTTGGCTGGTCAAACCTGATATATCTTAATCTGGAACAAATCCATAGCCTGTGGCTTTCTGTGGGAACAAAAACAGAGTCTCCTTTCCAAAGCAACATATCCTTACATCCAAATTTTGAAGTCAAGGTATCTTTAAAATATACATATTGGTTTAACTCAACATCTTTTACGATCAAATGTTTTCTGCAGTTAAAAATCCCAAAGACAACACAATCCAGATTCTCTGTGTAATATTCATCTTTATGAGGCTTATTTTTTATATTAATTTAACTGTCTCTTTAAAGACTTTATTTTTTAAAACTATGTATTTGTTTCTATAACTTTATATATCACCTTTTTTGTCTCTTTCAAGCCTACGTATATTTTACACACATTGTAAACTATTACATCTGAATCTGTCTTATTGTGAATCTATTGCTTTAAACTGCAGCATTTGTAAGACTGAAACGGCACTATGGCTGCTGTCTCTGCCCACCTCAGCTTCCCAACATGGCGGTGGTATGTTTACTGCCAGCTCTGGGAGCTATCGTGGGTCTAAGCTTTTATCCAAGCAGCGTGTAGCCCAGAAACTTCTTTTGTTTTGTACTAGCAAAGGCTAAATCCACCACGCAGCTTAATGTGCCACTTGCAGAGGCCTCATTCCCGCCATACTGCAGGTAGAGTGCGCACGTCAGGAACCCACAAGTAGCTCAAACTGGCAGCTGCCGCTCATTTGAGAGAAACAATTAGGAAGCTGTTTTTAGCTCTGTTTTAGAATCTTCTCAGGTTTTAGGTGGAAACTCTTGCTCCACATTGGGCGCCATTTGTAGCTAGAGTTTTCCTGCCTGGCCCACAGTCAGGACAAATCTCTCTCACCTGCCAGTCCCACAGCCAGATATTGGTGAAATTATTAAGGCCACTCCACATAGTTAAAAGAAGATTTATTTAATGGCGTAACTTACAAGTTAAGGGATAGGTAGGTCGCGGGGTCTGGGGAAGGTGTATTGCAGTCCAGCAGTGTTCTCTGGAGCTCTGTTGGGCCCACCTTCACCATCCAAGGTCCCGGAACCGAGTCAGAGCGCAGCCCATCCAGATCTCAGGTCTCCAGGCACCTCCCTTGGCCCCGCCTTGTAGGTGTGACAGTTGCCGAAGTCTCAATGAGGGTTGGAACTTCCAGATCAAAGCTGGAATGGCTACCCACTACATGGGTGTGGTGGTGTCTGCCTGTAATCTCAGGACTTGAAAGGCTACAGCAGGAGGATATCAAGATGGAGACCAGCTGAGCTACATAAAATTCAAGGCCTGGCTGCTCTTCTTGAGGGCCTGGGTTTAATTCCCAGAATCCACATAGTGCTCACAACCTTTTGTAATTCAAGTTTAGGGGCTCCAACAGCCACTTCTGCCCTTCTTGAGCACCAGGCACACATATGGTTACATGAACACAAAACACCCATACATATAAAATATTTTTTAAAATAGTTCAAGTTCAACTTACACAGTAACACTCACTGTCAAATAAGAGGGAGGGGGGCTGGAGAGATGGCTTAGCGGTTAAGAGCACTTGCTGCTCTTCCAGAGGTCCTGAGTTTAATTCCCAGCACCCACATGGTAGCTCACAACCATCTATATTGGGATATAATGCCCTCTTCTGATATAGAGCTGTACCTGCAGTTAGAGCACTCATATACATAAAATAAATAAATAAATCTTTTAAAAAATAAGAGGGAGGGGAATGTGTGTTTGTTTAGGTGTACACATACACATGGATACAAGAGAGTTCAGAGGACAACTTGTGGAAATTAGTTCTGTCCTCCCACCATGTGGGTTCCAGGGGATCAAACTCAGGACATAAGGCTTGGTGGCAAGCCTCTTTATTTGGCCATCTCACTGGCCCTATAGTTCATTTTGGAACTGGGATGTAATTCACATACTAAGAAACTCAGTCTTTCAAGTGTTTCAGTTCAGTGAGTTTTTGGTACATTAAAAAGATGTACAACCGTAACAATCACAATGGTTGCAGAACATTTTCCTTTACCTCAAAAAGAAACCTCCAGCCTGGCAAGATGGCTGAGCAGGTAAAGGCACCTATCACCAAGCCTGACAACTTGAATTCAACCCGAGACTCACACAGTGGAAGGAGAAAATCAACTCCTTCAAGGTAATTTCTGATCTCCACTCACATACTCTGGCATATGCATATACACATGCAAAATAATAAATAAAAATGAAATGAAAAAATCCCCACTGTCATAATCAGTTGCACCAATTCCCTTCTACTCAGTCCCTGGAAAATATTGATTGACTTCCTATCTCTACAGATATGCCTATACTTGTCATTTAATGTAAATGGATTTATTCAATCGTGGCTTTTTATGTCTAGATTCTTAAGTACATCAACAGAGTTGCACACTGACATTTCATTCTTTAATGTTCTTAATGGTTTA